AAAGTGTGCCATAAGCTAGAGACCATTCCCAAAGCTATTTCTTATATATGGGAAGCAGACCACATATCCAAAGCAGCTATTCAGCTGCTCCTGTAGATTCCACAACGGAGTTAATTACCAGCCTCATCATGGGGAATAACTACATTCAGCTGCCTAGCCACTCAACAAGGTCCAGTCAAGTTGACACATAGACTTAACCTCCACAAACATCTACAGCACTGCATCCATTTGTTGAAACATCTCAGTAGGTATTCCATCAATCCTGGAGCCTTGTTTTTCACCTATTCCTTCAGTACAGCTTGGACTTCTTCCTTCAGTATCATTGGTTCTTGGTCATATGCCACCTCCTGAAATTGGTGAATGTTGACCAATTCTTTTGGTTACAGTGACTCTGTGTATTCTTTCCATCTTCTTTTGATGCTTCATGCATCATTCTATATTTTGCCTGTAGAAACCTGTCCACCATGGGTGACCCTGCTGGTATTTGAAATATTTGTTGTATAGCTTCCAGCATCACAGGAACACACAAGCCACCACAATACAGCAAACTGACCAAAAAATTGTGGATTAATTGAGCTTACAAATTGTGCAATTAATGTGACCTACTCTGGTGGTTAATCTATTTCTGAAAAGTCAGCCACTGAAAGCCCTACAGAGCACAATTCTACTCTTGACACACACGAGGTTGCCTTGAGTCAGAATTAACTTAATGGCAACTGCTAACCAATAACGACAATAAAAATTGTCACAGAACACTTAATATACATGCCAGGCATTATTTAAGCATTTTGCACACAATATCTAATTTAATTCTCAGATCTAATGAGGCAGAACCCATTGTCCTTCCTCTTTACAGGTAAGAAACTATGCCTATCTAATTGCCCATTGTCCAGGGGTTTCTAAATGTGCAAGGAGTCAAGCCCAGATATATATATATATTTTTTTTTTCCAGAGCCCATGCTCTCCTCATGCTCTCTGGAAAGCACAGGGTGTCTCTCCTGTATGTGCTTTCTCCAGTTGGCTGTGGGCCACTTTGATGGAGAGGCTCTTTAGACCATTTCACCTGCTCTCTCAGCCTACTACTGACCCTTCAAGAAGGCCTGTATCAAAGATTTTAACAAAAGAGAATTTTAATGATAAAAACTAGAAATGGGGCTTGGAAGTTAGAGGAAGTATTTGAGTTGTTGCTAGACAACCTCCCCTTCACCTGCAGACCACTTTAGGGGCAGGGTGAGAACATTACAGAATGAAGATCATCATTCAGTGGTTCAGCAATTTCTTATCAACTCCCATGATTCAGTTACTTCTCATATTCATTCATTATTCCTTGTCCTAGGGTGAATTTGAGGAGCTCTGGTAGTATAATGCCTAAGGCACTTGAGTGCTAACCAGAAGGCTGGCAGTTCAAACCCACCAGCCACTCCTCGGAAGGAAGGTTGGGCAATCCTACTTCCGTAGTGATAATGCCTCGGAAACCCAAGGAGGGGTCGCTATGAGTCGGGGCCGACTTGATGGCAAATAACAACAACAACAACAAGAGTGAATTTGCCTTTTTATGCCCATAAAAATTACAATTGTTTAGTGCAAATTAACTTAGAAGTGACTTTCACAAAATTAGTCATGGTATTCAACATCAGTTAATGGAAGAAAACTATAATAAACCAAAGATTTTTTTTTTTAACTTTTTTTCATTCGATTCATTCTTTATCTAATTTTTTTTGCATGCATTTTTTTCCCTTCCTCTTATATTTCCTCATGTTCCCCCTTTCTTGCTTTTGTCATCTGCTATAATTTTTTTCTCACAGTTCCTTTTATTTTGCACAGGTAGCACATTGTAAATCGGAAGTGCACACAGATGTTTTGTATTTGCTTACTTGTTGTAAACTATCCTGGCAATGAAATACATAAACAATTATCCTTCTTTTGACCTTTAGATCAATGTTATTATCTACCTTCAAGTTGACTCCTGACTCGTGGTGATCCCATTCACAATGAAACAGAAGCACTGCCCAGTCTGCGCCATCCAGTAGGACCATTGTGATCCTTCAGGTTTTCATTGGCTGATTTTCAGAAGTAGATTGCCAGGTCTTTCTTCCTTTGTCTATCTTAATATAGAATCTTAATCTGCTGAAACTGGTTCTATATTGTAGCAAAATGCAAGCCTCTGTTTACAGAGTGGTGGTGGCTGTGCGTTGTCCAGGAATCAAACATTGTTCTCCTACATGTTGTTGGGAGGTGCTGTCGAGTCAATCTAACTTGTAGTGACCCTGTGTACAATAGAATGAAACACTCCCTGGTCTTGCACCACCCTCACAATCCTTGCTATGCTGGTGCCCGTTGTTGTAGCCTCTGTGTAAATACATCTCGTTAAGGTCTTTCTCCTTTTTCTCTGACCCTTCACGTTAACAAGCATGATACTTTTCTCCAAGTAATGGTTCCTTCCAACAACATGACCAAAGTAGGTGAGATGAAGTCTGGCCATTCTTGCTTCTAAGGAGCATCTGGCTGTACTTCTTCAAGGACAGATTTGCTTGTTCTTTAGACATCCATGGTACTTTCATTATTCTTCTCAACACCATGATTCAAAAGCATCAACCCTTCTCCAGTCTTCCTTATTTTTTGTTGTCTGGCTTTCATGTTCATGTGAGGTGATTGAAAATACCATGGCTTGGGCCAGACACCCTTAGTCTTCAAAGTGACATCTTTGCTCTTCAACACTTTAAAGAGGTCTCTTGAAGCAGATATGCTGAGCGCAGTATGTTGTTTGATTTCTTGTCTGTTGCTTCCGTAAGTGTTGATTTTGGATCCAAGTAAAATGAAATTTTTGACAACTTCAATATTTTCTCCATTCATCATGATGTTGGTTATTGATCTAGTTGTAAGGATTTTTGTTTTCTTTATGTTGAGGTGTAATCCATACTGAAGGCTAGTTTTTGACATTCATCAGTAAGTGGTTCAAATCATCCTCACTGTCAGTCAGCAAGGTTGTGTCATCTCCATATCACAGGTGGTTAATGAGTCTTCCTCCAATCCTGATATCAACAGTGATATCCCTCATTCTACATCCTCTTCTGAATCCATCTTGAAGTTCTGGAAGTTCCCTGTCAGTATACTGCTCCAACCATTTTTGAATTATCTTAAGAAAAATTTTACTTGTGTGTGATATTAGTGATATTGTTCAATAAACTCTGCATTCTGTTGCACCACCTTTCTTTGGAATAGGGACAAATATGTATCTCTTCCAGTTGATTGGCCATAGCTGTCCCCAGACTTTTTGGCATAAATGAGTAAACACCTCCAGCACTGAATCCATTTGTTGAAACATCTCATTGGGTATTTGGTCAATTCCTGGAACTTTGTTTTTTCCAATTCCTCCAGTGTAGCTTGGACTTCTTCCTCCTACATGGCAGGAGAGAATTATACCAGTGTACCACCAATGCCTAACACCATCTACGTGTTGTTGTTGTTGTTAGGTGCCATTGAGTCAGTTACAACTCATAGTGGTCCTTTGTACAACAGAATGAAATGCTATCTAGTCCTGTGCCATCCTTACAATCATTTCTATGTTTGAGCCTTCACTCTCTCTGCCCCAGCCTCCGCACCACCAAGCATCAGGTCTACAAATCAAGAAGAAATGCTATTTGTTCATAATCAAATAGCCACCTTGTGATTGCTGTTGTTAGGTCCCGTCAAGTTGGTTTCTGCCTCATAGCAATGCCACGTGACAGAGTAGACCTGTCCCCACAGGGTTTCTAGACTGTAATCTTTATGGGAGCACATCACCAGCAGGTCACCTGGGTGTCCTCTCATGAAATTGCTGAGTGAGTTCAAACATTTCAGTTAGGAGCTGAGGGCTTAAGCATTTCACTAGCAGAGCTCTTTTGTCAAACAGAGAAAACAAAACTCTGATATGATTGAGATTTTGAAATTATAATGATTTGTAATGTTTTGACTATTTGCCTAAAGGAACCAGATAGAAACACATTGAAGATGTCTAGAGGATTTTGAAGGCATTTGAGAAATGATGGTTTTGGCCAATGATGAGATAATTTATTTTGTATAAATTCATAATTATATTGCCCTCAATTATCATGGAACTTTATATCCTTCACTGCATGCATGTGTGTGTGTGTGTATGTGTGTGTGTTTAACACTCAAAATTAAGGCGGCATCAAGGTTTTTTTTTTTTTTAAGAAAGCAAATTCCATTTACCAAATTGTTTTCAAATTTTCTGCACTTAATATATATGCCTGTGATGTTGCAGGTGTGGTACCCAGCAAGTCTCATATATTACTTGTTATCTTTAGGGTAGCTCTACCAGGTAGATGCTATGATTTCTGTTTAGAGAGGGAAATGAAAGATTAAGCATGTTACATGGGTTTGCAGAGCTAGTATGGGGCAAGATTCCAACCCAGTAGTTTTTTATTCCAAAACCTGTGAACTGTGGGCTGGGCCATCTCCATCATTGCATAAAACTACAACTAGACTATGAAGGAGAAGCTTGATTACATCCAGTAGACTTTGTTTAAGAAGATGCATGAGAGGTTAACATGTAGTGTTAAGGGTTTAAAAAGAATTAGATTGTGTTTCATTTGCCCACAATATACTATCATTGTCCACAGGTTGTCTGGATAATTGAGAAATTAGAGAGTAGTTTTGTAAAATAATTTGAAGATTTGTGTTTAGATCTAAAGTTATTTATAAGTTTTATTGGCTGTCTTTTGTTTAATTTGATCAAAGGTTGTGGTTTTTTTTTTTTTCTTTCAAAATTATCAAGTATTGATTTACATCTCTTTTGAGTCTTTATAAGGTGTCTACAGTTAAACTTCAATCTTTTCCATTTGGTTATTAAAAAGTAAGTTGTTTTTAGAAGTATTTTTATGTCATTTAGAGTTCCATTTAAATGATGGAATTTTGGTTTTGTGCATACCTAATGAGAATATATAAGTCCTGTGTGCAATGTTATATTTACTTTTATATCTTATTGCCTTAAAATTCAGGTCCCAAGTCATTTGCAAAGGCCTTTGCCAGTGGCTATCTAATTGGAGAAGTTCTGCACAAGTTTGACCTTCAGGATGATTTTTCAGAATTTTCAGAAAGCAGGTTAGTGACATTCATCTGCACTTTTAAAAAAGTTAATTCCTTGGGCATTTAGAAAGTCTTAGCACCCAAAGTTAACTTTCCATTATAAGGTCCTTTCCAAACCTAAACCAGCCAAGCTGACTGTGGCTCTGAAAACTGTGCTGCCTCCCATATTGTCTGTTGTCCAGGATGAAAGGGGAAAATGTTACATGGTTGCAGCAAGACCTCACCTCCAGGTGAGGCAAATTTGCACATTTGCTTAGATTTCTTTCAAGAGGACTGAAATAGCATGTGGTATCTTGGGTGGCCATTTAGTATTTTCCATTTTAAAAATACAAAATAGAACTTAACTGATGAAAGGGGAAAATGTTACATGGTTTCAGAAAGACCTCACCTCCAGGTGAAGCAAACTTGCATGCTTGGCTAGATTTTTTTCAAGAGGACTGAAATAGCATGTGGTATCTTGGGTGGCCATTTAGTATTTTCTATTTTAAAAATACAAAATAGAACTTAACTGATAAAAATATCCATATTTCTTTTTATTTTAGCAGCTTTCATGAAATATAATTCACAAACCATAAAATTCACCATTTAAAAGTCTACAGTTCAATGGTTTTTAGTAGTATATCCACATATTTCATAACCATCAGCACTGTCTAAGTTTAAAAATTTTCATCTTCCTAAAAGAAACCCTATACCCATTAGCAGTCTTTCCCTCTTCTCCCTTCCCCAAGCCTTGGAATCCACTAATCTATTTTCTGTCTCCATGGATATCCTTATACTATAATTTCATATCACTTTAATCAGACAACATGTGGTCTTTTGTGACTGGCTTCTTGTACTTAGCGTAATGTTTTCAAGGTTCATCTATTCTATATTGTATATTAACACTTCTTTATTTCTATTTATTACCAAATATTTCCAATAATAATGATATTCAATATTTTCTTTATCCAGTAATCAGTAATTGATGGACATTTGAGTTTATTGTGCTTTTTGGCTATGATGAATAATGCTGCTACGAACATTTGTTTACAAGTTTTTGTGTGGACATATGTTTTCATTCTTCTTGGGTATAGACGTAGGGGTGAAACTGTTAGATCATATGGTCACTCAAAGGAGCCCTGGTGGTACAATTGTTAAGTGCTCAACTGCTAATTGAAAGGTTGGTAATCCAAACTCACCAGTGACTCCAAGGGGGAAAGATGTGGAAGTCTGCTTCCATGAAGAGTACAGCCTGGGGAACCCTATGGGGAAGTTCTCCTGTGTCCTATTATAAGATCGTTGTAAGTCAGAATCTGTGGTGCACTACAACACAACATTGTCACTCTCTATTGATATTTTGAGGAACTGCCAAACTGCTTCCAAAGCAGTGACACCATTTCCTGTTCTCACTGGCAGTGAATGAGAATCTGTGTTTCTCCTCCATATCCTTGCTTATATGTGTTATTATCTCTTTTAAATTGTAACCACACTACTTCTATTCTTCTCTGCTGAATGATGTAATCATGAAAGGGTGTTGGGTTTTGTCAGATACTTTTTCTGTATCAATTGAGGTGGCTATATTGTTTCTAGTGGGGATCCAGGTGAGGAGAGAGAACCCAGGCATGCCAAAAAGCAGCAGGATGGTAGAGCAGGAGAAAGGGGATTAAAAACCAGGAACCTGGACAGAGGAGCAGTCAGCAGCAGGGATCCAGGTGAGGAGGGAGAACCCAGGCATGCCCAAAGCATCAGAATGGGAGAGCAGGAAAAGGGGATTAAAAGCCAGGAACCAGGACAGAGGAGCATTCAGCTGCAGGGATCCAGGTGAGGAGAGAGAATGCAGGCATGCCCAAAGAAGCAGGATGGTAGAGCGGGAGAAAGGGGATTGAAAACCAGTAACTTGGACAGAGAAGCAGTCAGCCGCAGGGACCCAGGTAAGGGTGGTACGAGAGGTTTCCAACAGGGAGACAAACCTGTCTGTCAGTTTGTCCTTCCATGGTGACGTGTTGATGTGAGTTTTGAGGCTGAGCCACTGGTGTTTCTAACCCAGCAGGATGCACATGGTGCACAGGTATCAGCCCAGCTTACACACTGAGACAGACTAGGAAGAAGGAAGAGGCCATCCATTTCTCAAAGAATTGGCCAGAGAAAACTTTATGAATAGCTAAGAAACACTATTTGATACATTATCGCACAACTTTATGAATAGTCCGGTTAGGTTAGAAGGCTCTCATAATAGGACTAGGAAAGAGCTGCATCATCTGAGTAAACCCAGCCTTACTCATATGGATAAGGTAAAGCTTTCGAGACCTCCATTTGCTGATGTGGCACCACTCAAATTGAAGAGAAACAGCTGCAGACATCCATTAATCATCAGAACATGGAATGTACAAAGCATGAATCTAG